TTGCCTAATAAATTTGCAATCACTTAATTACATGTCTGCTCTCCTGTGAGTGTTTCACAACCAACATGGGAGCTGGAAGAATAACATCACTTGCTGTTGTGGGGATTAACAAATTGTGGGGATTAACAATTTAGGTCAAAAATATAATAAACTTTTTAATTTACTATATCCTGCATGTGCTATCAGCCTCTAAAGTGTTTTCTATCCACATTAAGCAGTATGCAGACTTCCAGAATTTAGTAAGACAGTATGCCCTTAACCTTCCACATTTCTCCTTTACCTCCCCTTTCTTGGGGATAAAGTTTAATCCCTCAAGTGAAACTCACGTCCCATTGTCTAAAGAAAAAATCCTAAGAATGAGACTTATTTTTCCAGTTAAGGGTTTTCACTTTCAGGCAGGTACACTGCAGACCATCTAGTAGTACAAATGTCCCTGCTGTCTCTGAATATCCTTGGGCAGCTGCCCATTCATTCCATTTAAAACCTGTGAAGAGTCATCCCAGTGGTTCAGGAAGTATACACGCATGGAAACCTAGACACAGACACAAAGAGACACACACAGCAGATCCTGATGTTCTCCCCATCTCTGCACCCCACCTGCACCCTGGGACACTGACTCCCATGCAAACAGTCCCCTCCCGACACCCAGGGCTGGCAGCATGCAATGGCATTCTCCTTGCGCCCCTGCCCTGTCCTTAAGGCTTCACCCTTGCAGACTGGACCACAGACCTTGTGCCACCATCTGCCAGCCTCCTGGTTTTGCCTCCACTCTCACTGACCGTTCTGACACCCAGAGTCTTACCATCTTCTTGAGAGACTTCGATGTCTAGAATCATGAGGATGATTCATGCCATCCTTGTCCTTGCATTTCCATGGTCAACCCCTGCCAGCCCACTGAAATGGCTCTCACCAAGGTCTCCAGTGACCCCCATATTGCTAGAGCCAATGTGTATTTTTTTCTGCTCTCTCTCTGAGACTCCACACTCTCTTGGTTTTCATCCAGTGATTCTGTGTCACCTCTGCCTCCACGGTCTCCTCAGCTCTATTTGTGGTGGCCTCAACTCTCTACTCTTCTCGCTCTGCACCCTCTTCCTCGGAGCCTCAACCACACGCATGGCTTCAGTGCACTGCTGCGGCACTGCACAACCTGGTACAGCAGGTCACACTTAAGTTGCTACCAATTCTTCCTTGAAAAGAGTGTTCTGGTCAGAGAAGTTTGGGAAACTGTGCACAGCCTATCAGCCTTTGGGGCTTTACCATGAAGGTTAATAGTACAAGCTCTGAAGTCACCTTTCTGGGTGTGAACCCTGACCTTGTACCAGTTGTCATGGACAAGTGACTCAATTGATCTGTTCCCAGTTCCCTCATCTGTACAATGACAAAAACTCCAGGACATACTGCATGGGGACATTGTGTGGAGAGGAATACATGAGTTAACACATGTAAAGTGCCTGACACAGGGTAAGCAGTCAGTATATTAAGATGTCTGAGAGTTCATGAAGAAAAGGAACCAGTTTTGCTTTATTTAACTCAATATTTCCAGATTTATTTGCCCAGAGAACCTCGGACACCACTTAGTTTGGGAAACACATGTGACCTTTGGTCCACCTCAGCTCAACACCCTCCACTGAGCTCCAGATCCACCATGCAACTGTAGGTGGGCATCAACCTCAGCGTGTCCCAAACCAAACACATCATCTCCTACCCCAGCAGGTCCCCCGCCCCCCACTCACTGTTGTAGTAAACGGCACCACCTTCCATTCAGTCTCCCAAACCCGCAATCCACGGGCTGGCCGGGACTACTACTCACTCACTGCTCACGTCTGTCACTGACTTCCGCAAACGCTGCCACCTTATTCACTCTCCCAGCTGTTCCCGTCTCTCCCTTCTCCCCCCTCTCAAGTGACAGATAGCAATACCATAATAACTGCTTTCCTTGACTTCGGTCTGGCTCCTTGTGAACTTTTTCCAGAACAATCGTTTTTAAATTCCTAATTAGTTATATCAATCCTCTTTTTTGAAGGTTTCTCATGCCTTTCAGGCTAAATATTAAACTAAAATCTTCAGCTTAGCAGACAAAGCTCTCCTGCCCCATGCGCTTCCCCCATGCCCATCTATTTAGAGGTGTCCAAACGTCTCATACTGTGTCATGTCTTTGCACAGACTGCTGCCTCTGTCTGGAATGCCCTTCTGCATCTGGATGGCTCTTACTCATTCTTGAAGACCCTAGGTGTCACCTCCTCTGGGAAGGCTCCCCTATCCCTCACTCCTAGTCTAACAGAGATGGTTCTTATCTGGTAGTTTCCATGGTTGACTCTCTATAATCTGTTTCTCCCCAAATGATTAGTCTAACCTAATCGTGGTAATTCCAGTCTTTTGGTCACATCTTGTTTAGAAATGGGCACATGCTGACACTGAAAATAAAAATTGAAGAGGGGAGAGAGAGAGAGAGAGAGGAGCATAAGGTGGGGGGCGAAGAGGGGATTGTGTCTAAGAACATCCTGGAAAAGTACAGACTCTTTATCTCTTGACGTTGTTGTAACTGAAGCAGACAGCAGACACTCTGGCAGCCGTCCTGTGACGCTGACAGCAACTGGTCTGAGGCTAAGCCTGGCCCCTGGAGAAGAGCAGTGTAGACATATGATATGAAACTGGTTCTCGACCCTGGAATCCTGCCTGACTCTGGACTTGTCTTGGATGACAAATCACCATACTATTTAACCCGCTTTAGTTAGAATTCTCCATTACTTGGTGCTGATGGCACCCTGAATGATGCAGCTGTCACCCCATCGTGTGGGTCTCTTTATCAGCACAGTCATCACACTGTGCTGAAAATAATTATGGAATTTTCTGTTAAACCTTTTCCTCCTGATAGACAGGAATTTGAGATATCTACTACAGAATGGTAGAAATCACCGTGTGTGATGGCAAACGTGTGTAATAGCAATACATTAGAGGAAGCCCCACCAAAGTCAGGAACACGACAAAAAGCTCTCACTACACATCAGCATTATTCTGATGGCCCTAGATAATGCCATATGATAAAGACAAAAAAGTAAAAAAGTATAAATATTGGAAAGAAAGGCACAAAACACACTATTTCCAGACAATATAAAAATATGATAATGGCATATCTCATTTAAAATAGCTAAATGCACAAATTAAAATAGTCATGTAATATCCAGGAATATCCATAACAAGAAATCTGCAAAACTTGCATGAAGACAATGTTAAAACATAACTGAGTAACATAAAAGGAAATCTGAATAAATGAAGAGACACCATGATGTTCCTGAATAGGAGGCCTCAATATTCTGAAAATTCAGCTCTCCTCTCACTAATCTAAAATTCAATGCAATTTCAATACAAAGCTAAACACATTTAAAAAAAAAAACAAATGGAGAAAGTGCACATAAATAATCAAGAAGTTTTGGATAAAAAAAGCAATGAGTACATCCTTACAATGGAATATTATTCTGTTCTAAAATGAAATACCATGAAAAGACATGGAGAAAACTTAAACGCATATTACTAAGTGAAAGAGCCAATATGAAAAGGCTACACGCTGTATGATTCCAACTATATAACATTTTGGAAAAGGCAAACTATTATAACATCTGTAAAAGGCAGAGAATTAATATTCAGACTATGAAAGAATTACAATCTGTAAGGAAAAGCCAAAAACACAACAGAAATGTGCAAAGTAAAGAAAGAGGCGATTCTCAGAAGAAGAAACGCAAATAGACAATTATGAGAAAAGATGGTCACCCTCACTAGTAAGAAAGGATATGCAAGTTAAAAGAATAAAATCTTATTTTTCTTTCAACCATTTTGCAAAATTTTAATAAATTAGTTACATCAGGATTAGTGATTATGTGGGGGAGTAGATATTCTCACATACCTTGTTAGTGAGCATTTATCTTTTAGAGAATAATTTGCCCATTTCCAACAAAGGTTAAAATTTGTATATCTTTCAACCCAACTATTATACTTTTAAGAATCTACCATATAGAAATGCCTGTGTATGCACATTCATCACAGCACTGTTATAGCCCAAAAATAGGAAATATCAACTTCCAACAGTAATTTGGTGATTACATATTATTCAACCAATTTTTAGAAGGATGTATATTAATATGTATTGATACGGAAAGTTCTTCAAGTCATAAGAAAAAGTGAAAAAATGAATTATAAAATAATATACCTAGAACAATCCCACTCATGAAAAAAAAAACCTGTATTCTTTGTGTCACTATTCATAGATTGGCTACTAGAAGTACTAGGGTAAAGGAAAACATTCTATATGTTTGTGCTTTTAAAAATCTTTTAGAACAAAAACACATCATGTATACTGATGTCATTATACAACCACTATTAATTTTATCTAATTCACTTAGAAGTCAGTTCCACGCGTGTGCATGAGATATGGCCAATTCCAGACATTTCCCAGAATGTACTTTGTTTTAGTCCAATGGTGAATACCACATATACACATAACTGCAGCTTTGACTTTTTCAATTCATATTTCCCTCGAGGACCATATAAAATAACCTAAAGCATGCTATTTACAACGAAAAGAAAGTTGGCCGACCATGAGTTTGATCCCAGCTCTTTATTTTATTCTATCTGAGGTCTGATCTGCAGACACTGCAGGAGGAAGAAGTGTCTGACCGTCCATCGCCTTCTCTATAATCCTGTCGTTATGGCGCCCCCTGGAGGAACAGGCCGGCGCTGCCTCCTCCCGCCGCGCGGCTGAGCAGGGCGAGGCCGCCTTTACCACCACTTTATACCGTCTTCATTGAAGGGGTGACACGTGCCCCCATTTCTCCTGCTCGCTCGCTCGCTCACTCACTCCCCTTCCTGCGCGTCTCTGCTTTGCTACCACCCTCTCTCTTCCCGTCCTTATCAGAAACCTCCACCACGAGCTCCCCCTGGGCTCCTCTCTGGGGTCCCAGCAGCGGGCACGGGGTACAGCGCAGGGCATGGCACCTACCACCTACCGGCGTTCCGAGCTGTGACCTTGGAGCCGTGTCTCAGCAGACGGACAAACACGTTCCCGCTGCAGTGGTTCACCATGTGCAAGTGGAGGCTGCGTCGAGTCTGGATCTTGACCAAGCATTTTGCCATGCTGGTGACTCCAACCTCCCCCGGTCTCCTCTGCCTGTCATGGCCCGGGGAGGCCACCGCCAGCCATAGCGGCTTTGGCCTTTGGCTGACTGTCCATTCTGTTTTAAAGGACCGAGTCAGGGTCTGGTGAATGAATCAAATGTCAGGTTCCTAACGCAGCCAACAGAAATAACTCATGAGAGATCAGCTTCGGGTGGGGACGAGGGGGACGCTATTTTTAAACTCTGTACTCACCCTCCCACAAACAATGAAATGTTATGCACCATCCCTACCCCTGCCTTTCTAAACCGTCCAGACCAGAGGACCCCTCCCAAATGCCTTACAGTGTCCTCAGAACCAAATGTCCCCAGAAGGTATGACAGCAGCTGGGTAACTCCGTGATGGAGAAACAACCCGCCCTGCTTTCTCTTAAAAAATATTTATTGAGCCTTTATGTTCCAGAACAGTGCTTTCCAATAAAAATACAATGCAAGCCACTTTATAGAGAGGAAAAAGCACTTTAAAAGTAAAAGAATTACAATTAATTTTTTTCCCCCCTTTTTGTCTTTTTTACTGACTGGTAACGGGATCGCAACCCTTGGTGTCGCCCCCACTCCGGGGAGTGGCAACGCGATCGCAACCCTCGGTATTGCGCCCACACCACGCTCAGCCAGTGAGCAGGAACCGGTCTCCACATGGGATCCGAACCCTCGGCACCGGGCTCCCAAGTGGGGCACTCTCCAGTGCGCCACCGGGCCGGCCCTACAATTAATTTTAACAATGTGTTTTATTTGAAGCCAAGATATGCAAAATAGGATCACAACATGTAATGATATAAAAATTAAATAGTTTACATTTTGGGAGGGGGGAATATGTCTCTGAAATTGGTGTGTGATGCACGTTCGGCGCATCTCAGTTCGCCGCATGTCAGGTGTCCGCAGCCGCGGGGCCCCTGCGCTGGGCAGCACAGCTCTGGACAAAGGCCAGCCCCTTACTCGCAGGGTCCACATCCGCACCACAACACTTACATCTCCTTAACAACAGCTTAGCGAGAGAAACTGACTTGACCAAATTCACTGTTAGTAAAGGGCAAAGCTGGGATCTGAATCCAGGCATCTAATTAATTTCAGTTGACCAAAAAACCACCCCAGAATGAAGCCATTAGTGTTTTCAATGCAGGAGCCAACTGGCACGTTAACTCTTAGCACTTTGAAAGTCCTGCACTTGGACATCTGAGGCATTAAATGTGCTTGCATCCCAGTATGAGTGCTCAGGAATCAAACCATTGTCGTGGTTTTTTTTAGAATATACTATATCTGAAAAAATTTCAACTGCTGAATAACTGTGCCTAACATACTATGTTAGTTATATGTCTTTGCTGGTACATTTTTCTCATCCTGATTTTCAGAAGAAAAAATGCATCTCACATAATTTCATCATGCATGCATACATTTTCCTACTTTAAATAGCTACTGCCACTAAAAGATGACTTTCTAATAAAAATATTATTTTATTTCCTGATGAAACAAAGGGTTATATCCAGAGCAGTCAGCTGAAATTCTGCATTGTTATGCTTCACTGTGGGAATATAAGGATTTATTTTCTGTTAATAAGTTTAGCAAAATATATGAAATTTTTTAGGTGTGGTATTCTTTGGTCCAGAAATTCTGCCTTTAGGAATTTACTATGAGGAAATAATTTGAAATGTTGACAAAAATTTTGGACAAAGACGTTCATCTGAGAGAGTATCATTTATTATAGCATAAAAAAAAAGTGAATCTAAATTTCCAATGGGAAAAGGGTTAGATACCTGTGATGGAATATTATACCAACATTAAAATCCATGTTTAAAGGATTTTAATGATGTGAGAAAATGCTTGCAATATACTACTAAATGAAAAAAGCATGTTTATATAAGCAGTGTGTCCTCAATGATGTAAAAAAGCACACAAGGAAAAAAAAAAAAAAAAAGACCAGAGAGTAAATCCTAGAGCACAGCCAGCTGGTGCTGGGACCTGAGGTGGGGGTGGGACACTTCTGAGACCCTGGAGGCCATCAGTCTCAGGTATGGCTCAGCAGTTCCTACTCTCATGGGGGCTAGTCAATTTTCAGACTTCAAACCTGAACCTGAAACTGAAACCTAAAACTGTCAACCTAAAGATTCACAAGATCTTCAGCACTCTGCAATTCCCCTTATGATATAATTCTGAGCAGAATCCCCATATATAACACAGATGTACTGACACAGAGGTGACGCCCTAGAATGGTACCTACTAGGTCTTCCCTCACTAGTCACCAAAGAACAGATCTGAAAATCACTGTTCTAAATGAATTGTTGCTTTGGAGTAACACAGATGAAGAACTTCAGAGATGAATGTGGGCTCGTTTGCGTGGCACAGGCCAGGGTTCAATCCTGAGGACATCTCCCTTTGGCCTGTTTGGAGAGAATCTAGATAAATCTTTATGCTTATCATCATGTCGAAACAACACATGACCTGGCAGTTCACTCTAAATAGACAAGGCCTTCCAAAAACAAAGCAGAGAGCAAGTAAAAAACCCAAAACAAAGCCACCAGCCTTGATTCCCATTCTTTTCCACCAGGACAGTTGCTTTCCATTAAATCTCAAGTTTAAAATCTCACCACAGTTTCAAATCCTTCCTTCCTTCCTTCCTTTTATTATTTTGAAATTATTATTATTTATTGGTGCTGTTATTTATTATTATCATTTTAACTACAGCCTGTCATAATATTTAGTATTTCATACGTTTTTCATTTTTTCTTCTCTTGACCCTATTCTTACCGTCTATGCTACTACTCAGACCCTAAGTAGGTCCCCTTATTCCCTTCCTTTTTGGATCTTCTGCTTTTAGAGAAAGGGAACCAGCAGGACCAGCACTCTGGATGGTCCCAGCCATTTCTGTCCACCTTGACTGACCCTTCCTGAAAGGATCAAGGCAAGCAGAGATTTGGAGCCAACCCAAAGACTCTGCACGATACTGCACTGTGAGTGTTGTTCTTGTTTGGGGCACGTGCTCAAGAGAACAGTGTCAGCGGCACAACATGCAGGGGCCCTTGTGTACTTTTCCTGTTTCAATTCACTTGTTTGTTTGAAGAATTGGGAGTGCATGTCTGGGCTGTGACAAGAGGCCAAAGAAATCAGAGAACGTGTGAAGAGGGGAATCGATTTTCCATAATGAGACGCAGGGAACACTGATAAGTCAGGCAGAAGCCAAAGAGGAGGAGAGAGTTCAGTGGCAGGAGCTGCTCACGGGCCTGAATTCCGTACCTATCACTGCCACAAACTCCCTGACGCAGATCTGGGGCAAGGTAATAAACCTGCCTCTACTTTGTGAGTGACCGGAAGTCATTAACTTGCGTGACTCAGGGCCCTGCTGCCTCCACTGTAAAATGGAGACGATAACTCCTCTCGTGGTTGTTATGACAAAGAAATGAGACATGCAGATGAGGTGCCAAACCTAGAGCTGGTTCCGAGCCGAAGGACCACAGCTTAGTAAGTGGTGCAGAAAGCCAGGCTGAAAGCACAGGTGCTGGGGCAGTCCCTGGATTCTACACCTGGCTGCACTGTTCATACCTCTGAGCCTCAGTGTCCTCATCTATAAAGTGAGCATCGTAAAGACAGCATGTACCTCCAAGGCCGTGGCGAGGATCAGGTTAGCACACGGCCTGCTCGGATCAGCATCTGGCCCAGCAATTACTCAATAAATGCGAGCGATTTGTTTTTTCAAAACATGCTCATTCCTCAGTCTCTTTTAACTGCTCAAGAGCAAGATAATGAGGATTTAAAGTCTGAATTCTCTTCCGTCAACCATCTGTCTCTTTAACATGTTATTACTAGTGACTTCTCCCCAAACACTGGGGAAGCAATGTAGGTTGTTAAGAGTTCACCTGGCCAGCCCGCTACCTGGGGAAAGTTAGAATTTCTATCTGTAAAGTAGTGATGATATTGGTGCTTACATGACTGGGTGTCTGATATGCAGGAGACACTTAATAAATGCTAACTATAATTATGTCACCATCAATATCATGTACTTTGTTAGCTGTTCCAGTAATAAACGGGTGTAGTGGATTTAATCATTAGTCCAAATAGGTATGGAGACTCACTGAAATTTTAGCTGCTAACCCCAAGCAGAAAGATAGTAAATATAAAATATTATTATATCTATTAAAAGTTCTTTCTAATAAATTTAGACTTTAAATATCTATTAAGAGTCTTTAGGACTATAATATACATCAAAGGACTTTACTAATATTTTATTAATGTAGTAATAAATAATACAAAATATTTCCATAATATATTTGTGACAGAATGAATATATTCTTGGGTGTATACTAAGGGGAAACAGAGGCAGCTCCCAACACCACCGAGACAGGACCACACGGCCGGTGATCAGCCATCTGCATAATTCAATTTCCTCCTCTGGAAAGTGAGGCAACAATATCTGTCCCAGCCACTTCAAACTCATGGTCATGAGTATCAAATTATGATAAGTTACATGAGAGAAAAACTTGGAAACGTGTAAGACGCTTTGTCACATGGAAACTCTTCCTCTCCTGGTTCCCCTTCTCAGATCAAGCCTTCCTGAGGATTCCTGCCTGTAAGTGAGAGCGCTGCTCACTGGGGATGGACGTCACCAAGCGGTGGTGGGAGAAAGGCCTGTGCAGACCCTCGGGGGAATTACAGTCTCAGACAGAGGGTGATTCACACAGGGCAGCTGGGCTCGCTTCAGACCGGTGTTGGGACCCCCACGCCCAGTCCCTGATGACCCTGAAGCGAGGTTTTTCGTGGTAACTGTGGGGAAAACTAGAACTTGCTGCTTCAAGGGTTCCTCCTATTTTTGTAATAGAATAAAAGTTTCTAGATTCATTTCTCCATCAATTCAGAGACTGACCTAGCGCAGGATCCCCACCGCTGCACAGTGTTCTCACCGAAACGCTCATCTGACCGTCCCCTGGGTGTAAGTGGCACCTTTCCATGTGCAACATGGACAGTCATGCCATG